TGCAACTTAATCAATTAAAGGCATTGAGATCATCAGCATCTTTACCTGCGAGGGAAGACTGACTCGTGTCCCAAACTCTTGAGAATATGGCAGCAGCAATTCTTGAGCTGAAGCTAGCAAGGTCTTTTGTGCTGCACTTCAACCTGATCTGCATATGTTTACTTCTACCATTTTCCTTCAGGCCAGTGTCTTCTTTCTCAGTAGTAAGGTCCCTTCCTGGGTTTTCCGGTCCCCTTCCCTTCAAGCTTGAGACTGGGTGAGTCTCCATCTGCTTACACTAATATTTCCTCTGTTTCCATCTCAATAAATCATCACTAGTTGTCTGTCCCAGATACGTGGGGGTGGGAGATGCTGAGTTCTTCTACTACTTCATCGAATCAGAAGGCAAACCAGCAGAAGACCCTCTTTTGCTCTGGCTCACTGGAGGCCCTGGCTGCTCTGCTATCTCTGGACTGCTTTTTGAAATAGGTGCTTCAATCCTTCGTGAAATTCCATTTCTGTTGTACCTGTTTAGCCTCTATTTGATGCACAATGCAACTTGTGATATTGATCTATTTTGTTTTCAACTAGGCCCTATACAATTTAACATTGTCGAGTATAACGGTACCTTACCAACTCTGGCACTCAATCCTCACTCATGGACAAAGGTAAAATCATTTTACAAATGCCTGATGTTATGTTTGAGCTTATGATATACTCTTGAATTCCACCTTGTGTAGGTTGCTAGTATAATCTTTTTAGATGCACCTGTTGGGACTGGATTCTCTTATTCAAGGAGCGAGCAAGGTTACAAGTCCAAAGATACAATATATGCTAAGCAGAGTTACGACTTTCTGAGGAAGGTGTAAACATTTTATTAACTGTTTTCAATTTTATGAGTCCGGAGCCATTGGATGGAGAGCCCTCCTCCAATTTCAAGGGGCCTCCTCTTAATCCAATTGCTAATGTTTTTGTAGTCTGAACTGCAAAACACTTTTTTGCAATTTTATTGCCACAAGCTTCTGTTGATTAGAAGATTATTGTGTACAGTGGTTGCTAAGTCACCAGAAGTTCGTTACAAATCCTCTCTACATTGCTGGCGACTCGTTTTCTGGCATGATTGTTCCAATCATTGCTAAAGCAATTTCAGATGGTAAGGAAAAAACAAGGGAAGCATTCTTTTTATGGTTGATCAGGACGTGATCAGGTTTTTCCCCATGCTGCAGGTATTGAAGATGGGCACAGACCGCAACTCAATCTCAAAGTAAGTCATCTAGCGTTCAATTCTGAATGAATGGCTAGCTTTCTGCACCCTAATCTGGAGTATCCAATTCTCGAATGCTATAACAATTCTAGAAATTGGGTGCAGGGATATTTGCTTGGTAACCCAGCAACAGATTCTAAATTTGATGATAATTCCAAAATCCCATTTGTTCATCGTCTAGGACTTATATCTGATGAACTTTATGAGGTCATCTTGAAAACCCCCTTCTTGCAGTCCTGATATAACATACATATGTATCAGCTATGTGATTTTAAGTTGCCATGTGTTTCTTTTGCAGTCAGCGAAAACGAGTTGCCAAGGAGACTATATAAAAGTGGAGAAGAGCAATAAAAAGTGTGCAGAGTATCTTCAAGCCATATCAGAAGTAGGGACAACACTATTTTTCTGCATCCATATTTCTTTCAACATTGACTAGAGTTCAACAATATTTCCTTTTACAGCGCACCACAAGAGTAAACAGACCACATGTATTGGAGCCTAAGTGCCCTTCTGAATTTCAGCAGTGGAATAAGATCAAGATGAATAATAGAAAATATTTCCTAGAAGAATATGAAGAGCCATTCCTTCTCCCAGATTATCAATTTGGGTGCAGGGTATATAACTAAGTCACCCCTTTTGCCTTTTTGTTCTCATGCCATGAATTATATATATGTTCATATGTCTAAGTCATATTTAGTGAAATCATTTTTACAGAACTACAACAGTTACCTCTGCAATATATGGGCAAATGACATCAGTGTACAGAAAGCACTTCATATTCGAAAGGTAAGAGATTTCTAAACAGAAAGATGAAAACCAATACAAGTAACTAGCTTAAGGTAACTTTGATGATGTTGATGAAATTCAGGGAACAGTGACAATGTGGATAAGATGCAACCGTAGCTTACCGTACGAGAAGGATGTTCAGAGTGCTCTAAGCTGTCATCTCTATCTCAATACCAGAGGTTACAGAGCTCTAATATACAGGTTTTTCTGCAGAATAACACATTCTTTATATTTGTTGTGCATGTTAAGCTTTGTTCAAGTGGAGACAAATCTGAATTCTGTGTTGCAGTGGAGATCATGACATGCTAGTTCCATACTTGGGAACTATATCATGGATTAAGGCCCTGAATTTCTCTGTAGTTGATGATTGGCGGCCATGGATGGTTGATGGTCAAGTTGCAGGGTAGGCCTATGGAGTTTCAATGTTTTTCAAGAAGATAATACTAAGTTTCTGATGCCTTTTCTGCTTCTAAATTTTGTGCAGATACTCAAGAGAATTCAAGAACAACTTCACCTTCGCAACTTTGAAGGCAAGATCTCCTATCTCTCTAAAATTGAATTGGAAAATTTATAAACAAGCTGTTCTAAATTTGTAATGGAGTTGGTTAATGCAGGGAGGGGGGCATACAGCTCCAGAATACCAGCCTAGGGAATGCTTTGCCATGTTCAAAAGATGGATTTCTGGGGAATCCTTGTCATCAATTGCTACATCCCCCACGTGTGCCACAGTGGCCTAGCCATAAATTTGTATTAGGGGGCCAAAAATACATTTATTTAAACAATTTGAGCATTAAAAATAAGTGAAGGAATCTATTTATAATAAAATATATACTAAATCTTAGAGCAATTTCTCTATCATAAACAATTAAAATGTTTTAAAAGAAATTCATTTTTCATTTTGTTTCAAAACCTTTACTTTTATCAAAATTTAATTTCAATTCTATTTAGAACGGTTAGGTAATATGTTGTAAATTATAGAACGTAATGCTATATTTATAATGTCATGTAGAATGGTAGAGGTTATTTAGTGTAATGGTTTAAAATTAATAGTTTTATCTAATTTGTTAGTTAATAATTGCTATTATTAATAATTCAATTTTTTTATTAAATTAGATAAATACCGTTAATTTTAAACTATTATACCAAATTATTTCATAAACTTACAATCATAGTGTAGCATTAAATAAATATAACGTGGTTTAATTGTATAAACACATACAATATCACGGTTGGACTTTTAAATAAAAGGTTAAAATTCTATTTTGTTCCTTCAACTATTGTACGGACCCTCGATTTAGTCCTTAAACTAAAAAAATCCCTAATTTGGTCCCTACTGTTTACCAAATTTACCCCGACTTTGTCCTTCCGTTAAAAATATAGTGACGTGTTCCGTTAATTAACTGAGTATGATGACATGTCCAAATATTATGACACGTCAATTGTACACATGGACATGTCATAAAACACGTCAGATTCTCGGCCAAAAATAAATAAATAAATAAAATGTGGGGCCCACCTCCTGCCCCAAACTCACTATCTTCTCCCCCTTCTTCCCATTTGAACCCTAGAAGAGCAAAGAGCAAATTGTACTAGAAACCGCCGTTGGGTTCGTTCGAGAACCCAGGCGTTGGGTTCTCGAAAGAACCAAGGCGCTGGGTTTCTTCTTGAACCCAAGCGTTGGGTTCGTTGGAACCTAGGCCTTGGGTTCCTTCGAGAACCCAGGCGCTGGGTTCCTTCAAGAACCCAAGCGCTGGGTTCGTTGGAACCTAGGCCTTGGGTTC